GTCCAGCAGATGATCTCTGGAGAGCCAAAAGTAAGAAACTAAAAAATATATTATTTTACGTCCACACCAGATTACTTCATTAAATATCCAGGGGACGAAAACGCGTATGATGTTGTCAACAACTTAATCAGATTTTTTTTCTCATTTTTTTTTAAATTATAGCCTTAAGGCGCATTTAATGTGCAACAATCTAGAGAAAAGATATCCGGAGTTATTCCCAGATGTTATTTTATTTTCAGACGAATAAATGACTTGAGTTTTTTTCACTAAATCCCCCCTCAGTCTGATCCTGTGGACGTGGACTCCCCTGCAGGCAGAGGAGCCCAGCGCGGCCGTATATAATACACCGCTGCCTTCCATTCACACGCAGACAGACGCTGTGGGATACAGWCTGGATGACAGGTGCTTAAAAACACACATTACTTGTAAAGTTACAGCCTAATAGCAGCCGGCAGCTGCTTTCGTAGACTGCGTGTGCGTTTACGTGCGCGCGCGTGTATGTGCATGCAGCCGCTGCTTTGCTTTTTTTCTTCTTCTATTATTTTTTTTCTATCCGTGTTAAAGGTCTCCCCAGGTCTTTGAGGGGGGGAAGCTACAGTTCCAGGGACCACGGGTAGATGGCACAATTTTCCTACATTTCTGACATGAACGGAGGGGAAAAGCCTGGTGAGCAAACTGGAAGTGAAAGGTGGTTTATTTTAAAGGCAGAGGATGGATCACAAATGTGAAATAAAACAAATATAATCAAAATAAAGAATCATTATTTAAAAAAACGATTAGGGATGTATCATCACATTGAGGCGCATTCGCTGTTTACTCCTTGCAATTTCTACCAGTAATAATAAAAGTAATAGCCTAATAATTTTCGTGCCTGTGCACTGACATAAGGAGCAGGTGTCCCAACTTGCAAAGCGGTTGACTAATGGGATTTACTGTAAATGAGCTGCGGCGCCTCAAACTATACATTATATGCAATAAAGCGCTTGTTGGATGAGCTAATTTGTCATAGTGATAGTGCCAAGGTGAAAATAATGCTGGCTGTGCGCGTGCCTGTGAGTGTAAAACACACACACACACACAGAGAGAGGGAGAGAGATGGAGAGAGGCAAAGCATATCTTTATCTTATTAAACAAATAGCC